GGGAAACGTCTGTGACAGGATCCAGGCCAAAAGGGAAAGGGAAGCGCGCCGGGTGGCTAGAAGTGAAGGCAAAGCGGCCCGGGTTTAAGGAGCAGCCACGAGACTCCCTGTGTCCCACTCTCTCCCCCGACCTGGCCTCTTACTCCTGCCTGTTTCCTCCGAGCCTTAGTTTTCTCCTCTGTGGTCAGCAGTGAGAAGCTCAGCTTGTGGGCTGGGGTCAGGCGGCAAGGACGTGAGCAAACCACCCAGCAGCAGCCCTCAGAGGAGGCCCAGCCGCCGCGCCTGCTCGGGCCGGTCCATCCCGCGGCCGCCAGCTGTGTCCCGCGAGCCGAGTGTGCGGTCCAGGAAGGCATGCTGACCGCGGGCAGGCACAAGCCTGCGTGGTCACAGGCCAGGCCCAGCTCTAACTGAGTCACCCCGAGACTGCCCAGACTCGCGAGCCACGGTGAAGACGGGGTGTGGCTCCAGGCTTACCCTGCTGCAGCTCCAGCTCCCCCAGGACCAGGTACAGGAAGCCCACCTGGGCTTGGAACGGCTCCACCAACCTGGTACAGACGGGGACGTGGTGCTGCGTGGATCCGCGCTGGGCCAGCAGCGTCACGCGGGACTGGGCCACGTCGTAGTCGCTCAACCTGCGGTCGGGAAAGCACGGCCGTTTCTATTCATGGACAGAACCGCCCTGGGCTCAGGAGCTGTGGGAGGCCCACAGCCACAGGAAGTGAGGAGGGCTCTGACCAGACTCTAGACTCGGCAGCCACGAGCCCCAAGAGACTTCCCAGCCTCCCTGCTGGGTGAGTAACACGACTCAAGTGGCCGACGTCGATGGGCGCTGGCCGACGAAGCAACCTCCACCGATTCTCCCGGGGCAGTCCTGCCACCCTGTGGTGTTTCCTGCGCCCTCTGGAAGCCAGCCCCCACCCCAGGTAGCCACCGATGTGCCCTGGTCTGTTCCTCAAGCGCCGCACGCCAGTGGGGCCAGGGCCATGGGTGGCCTTTCACGGCCCGGCTTTTCTGAGTAACGTGACCGTCCTGAGGTCCTTCGTGTGGCTGGGCGAGCCAGTGGCTTGCTCCTTCACATTATGTGACAGTGCTCTGCTGAGGCCATGGCTGGTGGTCTGTGCATTCATCCTCCGGCTGCTACCAACACACTAGTGAGAGCGTCCCCGGGCACATCTTGGGCTGACATGTGTTTCACCGATCTTGGGGAGCACCCAAGGGGGCATGCTGAATTGCAAGGCCCAACTGCCTGTTTACTTTGTTTAGTTTTTAAAGATTTATTTACGTATGCATACAGAATGGGGTTCAGGCCAGCGGTGCAGGGGCGGTGAGAGGATTCACCAGAGACAGAGCTGGGAACAGAAAAGGTAGACTGGCTGAAATCCACTGCTGAGGACAGCAGCGAGGAGACAGGAGAGGTCTCCTGCGCCCTGGGGACCTTCCCTGGCTGGGAACTGAACTCGCACTGTAGTGGCCACGGTCAGCTTCACAGTGCGGAGACGAATCCCTGCACCCCGAGGGAAGCCCTGTCCATCTTTTCTAATGGGGCCACTCTAGCGTATGCGGAAGCTCACTGGGGTTCTCATACGCATTTTCCTAATGACCAATGATGTTTGAACAACATGTCATGTGTTTATCTGCCATCTGTGTATCTCTTTTGACATCACCTGTTCAAGCGTTTGGCCCATTTTACAATTACATCTTTTACTGAGTTGTTCGAACTCTTTGACCTTCTAACGCAAGTCACTTGCTGGGTAGCGGGTCAGGACTCACACACAGCACACGGTGGCACCCACTTTCTCCCTTGTGATTACACTTCCATTTTCTAAATGGTATCTATTGATGAGCAGCAATTTTCAATTTTGTTGGAGTCCAATTTATTCATATTCAGTGGCTTTTACTTTCTGTATCTAAGAAAGCTTTGCCTAGCTCAAGGCCATGTAGTTTTCCTCTTAAATATTTCATAATTTAAATGATACATCTATGAATTCAAATCATTATAATTTTTTAAAATGCTGCAAGAGTTTTTTCTTAACCCTGGTAAGAATGTCAGTGGGAACTTCCAGTATCCCGTTATTAAAATGACCCTCCTCTCCCCATTCAATTACACGGATGTGTTTGTTCAAAATCCTTAAAGTCCTTAGATTTTAAACAGATTATGTATTTTAATATTATGATGTATCTACACAATGAAATGAAAAGGATCTATTTAAAGTGATGGTAAAAATGCTACAAATCTGGCCCTCCCTGGTGGCGCAGCGGGTTAAAGCACAGCACTGAGAAGCTGAAGCCAGTTCCGCATGAGTTCGATTCCCGCCTGTTCCAGAGGTGACCACATGGCGCGGCAGACCTCTCCTGACCCGCCTGCTGCTCCCCTTAGCAGTGTATTTCGTCGATCTGCCTGTTCTGCTCCCCACTCTGTCTCTGGTGAGGCCTCTCACCACCCCTGAGCCTCTGGCCTGTACCCCAGTTCTGTATGTACAAATAAATAAATCTTTTAAAAAAAATGCTACAAATCTGGCTGGGAGCCAGGTCTATCAACTGCAGATAAGTAAATAAACAAACAAATGGTACAATATAATGTAACAGCAACTCATCTAGGTTGAGGTATTCCTGTAATCCATGGCTGCAGACTATTGCAGGAAGCACTGGGAGACAAGACCAGGTCACAGAGGGCCTGTCGCTTGCTCTCTGCTCTCTACCGGATGGTCACTGCCTCATTTTGAGATTCGGCCACATTGCTGTACACTGCCATAGCTCATCCCTTTAGTATTCCACTGCCTGGCTCTTCCCCCATCTTGTGAGAGCCTCAAGTCGTCTAGAATGAATCTTCTTCTACTGGCACTGACTGGCCAAAGACGTGACTGCGTCACTTTGGCAGCAGGCCCACACCGCCCCGTCCGGCCTTCAGGCGTCGGCAGCTCTAACCAACCTGGACTAGTCTCCCAAGTGAGCTGGGCCAGAACCACCCAGCCAAGTTGCTCCCAAATTCCTGACCCACGCAGCAACCGTCAAATGAAGCACCTGTTCTCATTCTGAGCCGTGCATTTTGGGGTCATTTGTTGCACAGCAGCAGGTGACCCACAGATGCATGACACACAGTGTGCACCTACCGTGTGTCTGTCGTACACACATACCTGGACACGTGGGCACACAGACTGGGCTCTCTGCCCGTGGGGTCACCGGGATTTTTGTGTGCTCTTTTCACACTTCGTGGCGGTTTGCATTTTTACAACGAACACATTATTCTGTTAGCATTTTAAAAACATCTAGACAAACTTAAGAAAACTATTTAATTTGCCTATTTTGGGGTTTAGGTAAAGCCATTTAAACACCCCCACCCCCTCCACACGTACAAAACAAACATCCTCACCGGCCAAATGTGCGCAGCGAAGCTCCATCCGGGACGCGGCCGGCGCTGACCTCCCAGGGGAAATAGTAAGTGCCCGGCCTGGGCAGCATCCTTGCTTCTCACCCAAGTTGCTGAGGCGGGTGTGCAGAAACACCTGACAAATCAAGCAATGGAGGGTAGCAGAGGTCAGTACCAGGAATATCTGAAGGCTTCCTTCCAGTGCTGGGTGCTTCTAATTTTTAAAATCATTTTGATGGCCTATGTATTCACATGTTTTGTTAAAAATGTATATATATGTAAAAGCTGGGCCTCCCTGGTGGCACAGGGTTTAAAGTCTCAGTGCTATGAAGCTGTCGGCAGTCTCTAAGATTCGAGTCCGATCCTCAGCCAGGGAGGTGACCCCCAGGGCACAGCAGACCTCTCCTGGCCCGCCCACTGCTCCCCTCAGCAGTGGACTTCATCGATCTGCCTGTTCTGCTCCCCACTGTCTCTGGTGAATCCTCTCACGGCCCCTGCACCTCGGGCCTGTACCCCAGTTCTGTGTGCATAAATAAATACATCTTTAACAAACAAAAGAGGCCAAGAGGTTACACACCCTCAGAGCGTGACACACTAGTGACCAAGCCAGGCCTGGGCAGGGGCACAGCATGTGAGCATCTGTGTGTTGTGTGTGCACGAGGGGCCACATGCGGAAAGTGTTACAGAGAGTGGGGCCTCGGGAATCCCTGCTCACGACAAAGCCTACAGGTGACAGTCTTCACCCGTTCCTCACTAGGATGAGCAAGTGGAGGCAGGAACAAAGAGAGCAGCGTGAGAACCCCAAGCGAGAGCTCTGCTCAAACCAGATGACACAGAATTTGCTGTGTCCTTGGATCCTCACAACTGGGCCCCTGACCCTGGGAAGAGATCATGCAGGGTAGGTCAGTGTTCAACGGTCATCTCGATACAGAGTGTCCACAAAAGGTTTGGCCGGTGTGACAGGGGCACAGGCCAAGGCCAGTGGCATCTTCTTCCTCGTTGCCACGACCAGGGACAAGTACTCCTGTCACCAGGAATGAGAGAGCCCCCTCACCATCTCTGGGATGAGAGAGGCAATAAATAAAAAAAATAACAACAAACAGCCGAGAGAAGGAAAAAAATCTAGTTCTTGTTGGGTGTTAGAGACAGTCCTGTCCAACCTAGCAAAAAGTTGAAGCTTCAGAAGCTTTTGAAAAGTAATTTTTCAGCCTTCCCTGGTGGTGCAACAGGTTAAAACACAGCACTACGAAACTGGCCCCAGCCTCCACTTCAGTGTGAGTTCGATCCCTGGCCGGGGAGTGACCCACAGGGTGCAGCAGACCCCTCCTGACCTGCCCGCTGCTCCCCTCAGCAGTGAACTTCACCAATCTGCTTGTTCTGCTCCCCACTCTGTCTCTGGTGAAGCCTCTCACCTCCCCTGTACTTCTGGCCTGTACCCCAACTTTGTATGTAGAAATCAATCTTTTTTAAAAAGAAAAATAATTTTTCTACTCTGAAGGACCACACAGACTCGGGCTAAGCTGTGAGTAACTAGATCACCAAGTTTATTTTTGTTTTTTAAATTGTCTTTCGGTAGAGTTGACTCTTAGGGAACTACACCTTTGTAAATTTTTACTTCACAAATTGTTTTGAAAAAAAAGTTATGATGTATTTAGTAAGGCGTTTCTGTGAAATGAGGCAGAGCTGACTCAGGACATTATCGTTTATACATTATCACACATGCGAGAATGTTTCCAAGATGTATCAGGACAGGCTTGTCTGGTAGCTCAACTAGATTTCAAATAATCTCTTTCCAAATCTAAGCAATGGTGTAAACTACCAATCAGCTCTTTTCAACTCCCAAGGCAAACATCCACTCTGGGAGAAAAAAATCCACAGTATAACCCAGAGAAAAATTCTGGAAAGCTTGTAAATACTATTCTGAAAGGATCGTGAACCAATCTGACTCTTAAGCAATGGCCAAGGCTTCTATAACAGGCCTGAAGGTCAGAAGAGCCTAATCACCAAGTTGTGGTTTTTATCAGCTCGGGTCTGTTGCCCAGAACTAGGAGCCTTGATTGGAGATGTTAACCATTCCGCAATTACACCAGGTCACTGGCTTTCACTAGAGGACGAAGCCCAGGAGAAGCCGGGGAAGACGTGTGGCCACGGGCAGGGACTCACCATCCGGCAGGCACCTCACCGATACTCGTACAGTTACAGCCTTTGCTAGCTGACTGCCCTACGGACCAACTGGGGTACAGCACAGGGTGTGAACTATGGCCTCAAAATGTTCCATCCCGTGAGGCTGATTCCAATTTTATCTTTAAGATTTATTCATGTACACAAGAACTGGTGTCTAGGCCAGAGCTGCGGGGGAGGGAGGTGAGAGGCGTCACCAGAGACAGTGGGGAGCAGAACAGGCAGATGGACGAAGTCCACTGCTGAGGGGAGCAGCGGGGAGACAGGAGGGGTCTGCTGCGCCCTGTGGGTAGCTCCCTGGCCGGGGGTCGAACTCTTGCCGAAGCAGCTGCTGACAGCTTCCTATTGCTGCACGTTAACCCACTGCGCCCCTGACTTTTCTGTCACAAGAAGTCTACACCAGACTTGGCTTTCTCCCTCCTTTGCCCTCGCCCCCACCTCAGGACAGTACTCGTTTTTCCTCGGGATGGGACAGTCTCCTGCCGACCTTCAGAGTCTGCCTGTCTTCTCTCATTCAGGTCCGTTTCCTCCTCCCTGTGCACCCACTGAAAACTGCCTTTGCCATCCCGTTATGCCTCACCATGGCTTCTTTTCTTCGTGGGAACTTACTGAATGGACAGAATCCCACACATGTGGCTGGCTTACTGGTTTAATGCCTGCTCTTCCCGCCAGACTGTGCTCCAGGAGGGCAGGAGTTCCCCCTGACCCCTCCGTGTCCTGACACAGCACCTGAGACGTTACTGACTGAACGGATGGTCAGTGAAAGCCGAAATCATGGATGGCCACACCAGTGTGGACACGGAGAAGGGGCACCGCACCTTCCTATGACCTGTGCTGTGGAGACTTTCCGGCCCTGCGCCTTCGTTTGCTGTTTTATATCCTCTGACTGTCCAGTTCAGGCAAATGTTTGAATGTCAGCATCCAGAGTGACCACCGACCTTTCAGAGTTCCTTCGACTGGTTTCCACTGATTTACAGCCCTAATCAGGCCCCCGAACTGAAAAGCCTCCCTAACAAAACTTCCAATTCTCAACAGCTTAAGGTCTTACTTTCTCCTCTCTGAGACACTGTGAAGCTTCACAAGTAGAGCTCTCCCTTACCTGTGTCAGAACTCAACTCAGCGTTGTCTTAACAATATTTGAACTGCTAGCTCTGGACAAGAGGAATGGAACCCAAACCTAGCGGCACACCGAAATACTGCCTTGGCGGCTGGGTCACTCAGTGCAGCCCTCAGTTATAGGTGCAATGGAGCAAAGACAAGCAACGCTGGTCACCTTCGTGTTGTGGGTTACCCTACATGCTTTGAAGTCACGTTAACACATGCTAAGGTTTTTGGCACTCCCTTAAACTTTGCACAGGAAGTGAATGTCCCACAGGCCTTATTCCAGTGCTAAGAACTGATGTATTATGGAGCACTATCAGGCATACACGTTACAAAAAACAGGGGGGTCGGGGCCCAGTGGGTTAAAGCACAACACCATGAAGCTAAAGGCCCCTCCATCCCCAGCCAGGAAGTGACCCCCATCGCACAGCAGACCTCTCCTCTCCCCACTGCTCCCCTCAGCAGTGTACTTCGTCAGTCAGCCTGTCCTGCTCCCCACTCTGTCTCTGGTGAATCCTCTCACCACCACTGTACCTCTGGCCTTATTTTTGTATGCAGAAATTAATCTTTAAAAAATGAAAGACCACAGGGCCCGGCAGACCTCTCCTGACCCGCCCACTGCTCCCCTCAGCAGTGTACTTCGTCGATCTGCCTCTACTCCCGGCTCTGTCTCTGGTGAAGCCTCTTGCCACTCCTGAGCCTCTGGCCTGTACCCCAGTTCTGTATGAATAAATAAATAAATCTTTTTTTAAATAAATAAATAAATAAAAGAAAAATAAGATGAAATGTAAATGAGGAAAAGGTAAAGAAGGGGGAGCAACAGCTTCCCTATCATTTGATGGTTTGACAACGGGTGAACTGAACTAATCAAGAATTAGCACATTGGTATTTTACCAAGAAAATTCTTAAAAATCAGATCTAAAAGTTCAGCTGGTTCAAAGTGGCTGCCTCGGAGGATGGAGAACTTTGGCTTGTTATTGCAAGTCCTTCTGTAAGGGGGGGGGTCCCCCAGGAAAAGGGGTAGTTCCAGGTTCCCTGTCTCACCCTGAAGGAGGGTGGAGCTGAGAAGAGAGAAGGAAGCTGGAGAAGGAAGCAGGATGGAGAGCCAGAAGGAGACCAGAGGAAGCAGTAGGGAGCACGTGATGAAGAAACTGTGCTTGTTTCTTGGCCCTGTGCTGGTTGAAACAGACGTGGGTGAGAGACCCATGGGGCAGTGACCATGGCAGTATTTATCTTTAATTTTGATGTTGCTCTTTTCCTCCCAGACTTGTCTGGCCCTGTCTGACCCTTTTCCATGGGTCCCGGCCAGAAGGTGCTTTAGGCTTGTGGCCACTTTCAGGCCTTGCTCTGGGCCAACTTCTTTTGGGTGAACTTTTACCCACGAGGGGATGGGTCACTTAAGCTGTTTGATTGAGAAACTGTTCTTTGTCTTTTCTGTGCTGCACACTCACTGTATGAAAGTTCCTTTCCATTAAAGCTATACCATATGTCTTGTCCTGATGCAGCCGATGGCAGATCCGATTTAGAGCAGGCAGGTTTGGGGATTCGGTGACGCCCTCTCTCCCTACCCTGTGACACTTTTACACTGGTCTTTTAACTGTAGTATTTTTATTGGGGTAACAGTTTGCAGCACTGCATATGATTTGGGGGCACATTCATACCTCTTCAGGTTAAAGTTAAAAAGCCACTCCCACACGGTAACACCCACAATTTTCCACCATAGCCCAACGGGTCCCCGCGACCTTTAGCCCCCTTCCCCCACACTAGGTTTTTCGAACGTGTGCATTTAGGACTTCGACGACTGTGAAAAAGAGCCAGTCCGATTCCGAGACCTCGGAGCTCACTGCCCGCCCGGCCTCATTTCCTAGTTCCGCGTTTACCCCATAATCTAGGGGGAGCGCCCGCAAGCCCACACCCACGCAGCCCGCGCCGTTATCTTAACTAGAGATAACTGGAGACTCCCCTGGTGACTTTCGCCCAGCTCTCTTTTCCCTCCGATCTGGGCGGGCCTGGGGAAGCCCTACGACCTCCCCCGGGGGGCCGAAAGGCCCCCAGGGCCGCCCGCTCGGGCCCTTCAGTTTCCTGTCCCTCTTATTTCCAGGGGAGCCTTTGCGTGCGCACCCGGAAGAGGCGGGGCGAACGAGCCCCACGGCGCAGGCGCAAGCGCAGCCTTCAC